CAAGGCTGAAAAGGTCTTCAAAAGTCACTTAATCTAACCCTTAATTTTACAAAGGAGTTTGCATTCTTTTAGTGTGTATGTGTCAAGTGTCAGAGTCAGGAAATGAACCTGAATCATCCTAGGCATAAGGAAGGACATAGACAAATTAGATTCCTAAATGTCCTTGTAAAGAGGAAGAGGCATGGTGAAGTAGGTCAAGAGAGCGAGGCCAGAAGCGAAGGAGACCTGTTTGTCTAGGACCCTCCGTGGACATTGAGGCTGTGTGATCCTAGACAAGCCATTTATTTCTCAGTGCTCCAAGCAACTGAGATGATAAATGAGAGAGGGTGATGACCTGCATCAGCAGATGAAGCTCTCTCCTATGTGTGTTCCTTTCAACAACGTAATAACAGGAACAATCCCTATCCCTATCCCTATCATTTGAAAAGAGAACCTAGAGTTGACTTGCTCAGCTCAGTTGACTCCAAATGCCACAGACCCTTAGAGAGAAAACAAAACAAAACAAAAGGTCATGTCCTAGGCCCCCTTACACAGGCCTCTTCATTATTCAAAAATGATTTTACTTTGTTTACTTTTTTAAGCTTTCATTTTATTTTTCAACTAACAAGCATTTATTTTCTCTCTCCCACCTCCAATTTAAAAGAAAGACAAAATCTTTGCAATAAATTCCCACACTGATCATCTCCAAACACGTATGTCTCACTCTGTATCTTGAATCAATCACCTCTCCGTCAATAAGTAGTTAGGATAGTTCATCATGGGTTCTCTCGAATCATGGTTGATCATATATTAATCAGAGTTCTTAACTCTATCAAAGTTGTTTTTCTTTACAATGATGTTAATATCATATCCTGGTTTTGTTCACTTTACTCTGCATCAGTTCTTATAAGTTTTCCTGTGCTTCCCTGAACCTACTGATTTCTTCCACCATTTTTATAGCATAATAGTATCCCATTGTATTCATATATCATAATTTGTTCAGTCATTCCCCAATTAATGGGCATTCCTTTAGTTTTCCATTCTTTGCCACTGCAAAAAAAAAAAAGATCTGCTTATAAATATTTCTATTCATGTGGAGCCTTTTCCTCTTTTTAAGATCTCTTTAAAATATAGGTCTAGTAGAAGAAGTGTTATGTCACTTTATTTACCATAGGGTACTCTTAGTATCAAGGAGGCAGCTAGATGGTTCAGTGCATAGAGCACTGGGTCTGGAATCAGAGAGATCTGAGTTCAAATCCAGCCTCAGACATTAGCTGTGTGAACTTGGGCAAGTCACTTAACTGCTATCTGCTTTAATCCACTACTGAAGGAAATGACAAACCACTCTAGTATCTTTGCCAAGAAAACCCTGTGGATAATATGGACCATGCAATCATAAAATGTCGGACACAACTGAATGACTGAGCAACAACAACTCTAAGTATCAGAAAAAGGGAGTGGTTGCCACTCGTTAAATATAGCTACTAAATATATCTTTCTAGCATTGCCATTTCCATTTCCAAATACAGGGAGACAAACTGTGTGTGGAGTCCCTCAGGCAAAAGGGTCTAGCCCTTGTTTTTTTTGGAAGCTCAGCCACCCACCAGGACAAGAAACCTCTATCGCCTGACACCTTTTTTTGGGGGGGTGGGGAACTCTGGTCTCTGAGCTTACACTGAATAAATGAAGTCTAGACTCTAGGAAAACCTTCTATTTGTCCACAATTATTAGGTGAAGAGATTTAGGAATCAAGGAAAAACCCCTCCTAATATGGATTCTTTTTTTCACCCTGGATATTGACCACACGCCTTTTTGGATATCAATAATCTCTCTCCCCCACCTTTTTTTTTCTTTGCCAGTATTTCATTTAATATTTTTGCACCAGTGGTCATTAGTGATATTGGTCTATAGTTCTTTTTCCTTGCTTCGTCCTTATCTTTTTTTTTATTTAAATTTTTTTCAATGAACAAAAATTTATTTTCTCTTTCCTCACCTCTCCCCAGAGGGGTAAAAAAACAAAGAAAAAAACAACCCAGGGAACAAAGCAATAGTACCCAGTTGCTGAAATGGGTAGTAGTAATTTTAAGCAGTAAAGCTTAAAATACTTCCTTTAAGGAAGGAAGCTCCACATAGCTCTGTTTATCTCTCTCTGAAAATAATCACAGGATAATGGATTTAGACCTGGAGGACTTTACAAGACATTTATTCTAAGGAGGACACAGAGGCCTGGAGACACTGAGAGACTTGCCCGAGGTCACACAGATAAAAGGTAAGAGAGTTGAGATTTGCATCATAAAATTAGTGAATTGCTAAGGACTTCAACAGTATCGAATCCAACCCATATACCAAAGGAATCCGAGGGGAAACATTCTATTCAGACTCCAAGATCAGCCTGCTTTCGTCTTCTACTCTGCTGTCTTCCCACACAGAGGCAAAAAAAATGTTCCTCCAACTGAAACTTTCCAGGACTAACAAATTTTTCTTTCTTTCTTTCTTTTTTTAGGCAATTGGGGTTAAGCACTTGCCCAGGGTCACACAGCTAGTGTCAAGTGTTTGGTCTGAGCCGAATTTGAACTCAGGTCCTCCTGAATTTAGGGCCGGTGCTCTAGCCACCGCGCCACCTAGCTGCCCCACAAGTTTTTCTAAGACAAGAAAACTGCTCAACAACAACCAACATATAAATCGAGTAAAGGCTTAAAAAAGTTGCTTACTCAAGTTGGTTGATCATTAAGGATTAATGTCCAAATTATTACACATGTGAGACCACTTGACAGTAAGGAGAAAGAATGTGGGGTAGAAAGAGCCCTGGGGTGGGAGGAGACCTGGGTTCTAGTCTGTTCTGCTCTGCTACTAACTGTGTGACTTGCCTCTCCTACAGAAAGGTGTATGACCCTGGGCAAGTCATGTGACTTCTCAGAATGCTGGGGAATTCTCTAACAGTAAGTTGCTGACAAAGTGCTACCTTGCTTTGTTAGAGTTTCCACATCTAGCAGTTCTCTGTATCACTAAAATCGCAACTCCATTTTTCACACTTGAGTCCATTCAAAGGTGTTGTGTGGGGTATTTAGGGTACAAAAGTTTAAAAAAAAAGAAAAAAACATTTTTTGGGAGGTGAGGCAATTGGGGTTAAGTGACTTGCCCAGGGTCACACAGCTAGGAAGTGTCAAGTCTCTGAGGCAGCATTTGAACGCAGGTCCTCCTGACTACAAGGCTGGAGCTCTATCCACTGCATTACCGAGCTGCCCCTAAAAAGCATTCTTTTCAAAGAGTTTACATCCTATTGGATTTAGACAAAATGTAAATCAATAAACATACACATGGTAATGCCTTTAGCTACCTAGGCCTCAGTTTCTTCCTCTGTAGAACGTGAGAGGTAGACTTTGTGATTCCTGATTAGGACCCTTTCATCTCTATATTCCTAGGATTCAACTGTATGAAACATGAAATGGATGTCTTCAGATTTTGAAACATGCCTGTGTTTTGGTATGATTCCTAACCAATTCACCTCAGATCACTACAGTGTACCATGTCCTACAAGAAGGGTACTATCTACTTTTTGAAAGAAGTATGCCCAGGCTCCCCATCACTTTCATTTCCACATGCCTGACTCGGAGAAGGAAAAGGGAGGCAAGGCTGGTAACAAGCTTGAGGTTGTCTACTGGCCATTGAGCCTTAGGAGCAGGGAGTGCTCCCCACCGACTCTTCTCATTGGTGGCAGTCATCAGATGGCTGCCAGCCCCAGTGGAAGCGTCAGCAGGTGAGGGAAAGCCCTGACACTCCTAGCTGAGCCCACTTCCACATTTCAGTCTCTCCACCATTTTGCTGTGCTTCCTACTCCTGTCTGTTTCTCTACCCATAAAACAAAGATAATAATATGGCATGAGCTATGCACGCAGTGGACACTTAACAAGTATTCATTGAAAACACTGCCACACCTTAAATAGATAAATATTAAATAATTTATAGGAAGTACTTTGAACTCCTCAGAAGCAAGATGCTCTCCAGTCACAAGATGGTATTATTAGCAGCAGGATCACAGAAGCAGAAGGCACTTCACAGATCTTGAAGCTCCCTTACAGCTCTAACGTCCTGCAGTTTTTGTAATTCTATTTATCTAGTACAGCCCAGTACCTGACAGAATCCCCCCTATACTATCCCCCTGGAGGTTGCCAGCCTTTGCTGGAAGGCCTCCAGTGATGCAGAACTCACTACCTCATTGGGCAGCTCGTTCCTTTACTGAATGGCAGCTAGAAAGGGTTTCCTTGTACTGAGCTAAATTCATGTCTCTGTAACTTCCCAAGTAACAGGGCCCAAGTTCTGCCCTTTGAAGATACCAAAAAATAAGTCTTTTTCCTTGTCCACATGGAAGTCCTTCAGATGTTTAAAGACGGTGGAAAGATATGTTCCCTAAAAGTTTCCTCTTTTCATGAGATCATGGGATTTCAAACTGAAGCAGAGTTTAGACATCAGTTAATCCAATACCCTCCTTTTACAGAAGAAGAAATTGAGTTCCACAGAGGTGGGGTAGCTAGTCCAAAGTCACAAAGCTAGTTACTGACAGATGCTTATGGCCCTGTATGTTTACCAACTGCTGTCAACTTTCCTCAAATGACTTGTTTTTGATAATGTTGAGTAATAGCAGTCCTATTACATAAATTCCAGTAAGGGCTCAAAACCTGGGCATCAAAACATTTGCTCAAAAAACCCAACAAGACCGAAAACTGTCAACAAACATCCATATACATTCACACCTGAATAAACCATCTCAGGCCAAGGACACTGGGAGCAAAGCTCTACCAAACCTATGACAAGTATGAATTATTTGAATCCTTTGGAGATTTATTTGCTAATTTCTAACAAATTACTTGCAAACTCTTCATCTCAAAGAACTGAGAGAAGAGTTTCTTAGCCTAGAAAACCATCACTATACCCTGGCTGTTCCAGTTCACTTTTAAAGTAGAATCCTCTTAGTAGTAGGCAGACTTCTTCTATCCCTAAAAATGACGACATGAATCCCTTACCTTGTTTCCAGAGGCACAGACTGCTCTGTTTCCAAGCTTTTTGTTTTTCATTAACATTCCCCATTTTACATCAACCAGATCCCAGTTCCTTTCTGAGACCCGTCTTTGTTACCCGGCTGAGGAAGGACCAAGGCACTGTTCATCCTTCCGCCCGCATCGTGAATCACCTCGTTTCACAGTCCACGAAAACAACTTTGTTCCTCATGTCCTGATAGCAAGGAAAACTTCAGCAACTATACTGAAGGCTTTGACATTTGAATCTTCTTCAACCCCAGAGAGAAAAATTAGACACAAGTTCGTGCTATCAGTCCTACCGGTGTGTCTCAGTAATCAGTCTATATTAAGACAATCTTTGCTGCCAGTCCCTTTGGGGGTTCATTACTCATCGGCTCAGCAGTGGCCTCACAGAATGAACTGTATTTCAAAGCACACTTTCAAGACTGTAGTTTCCCTCTGAGGGAAGGGGGATAAAATCAGGTGACCAAAATACTGAGATATAAATGGCATCATTTTTTGGGGTGTGCCAAGAGAAATAAGAATCATACAAAGCCCTGATGAAAACACAACTCTGGAGCCTGGAAAAACCATGCCCTGCTTTTATACATCCTGAACCAAGGAGTGCACAGTCAACGGTGAATTATGTGTTACAATAACATAAACAAGCTGCTTTAATTACAGCTATGCTCCTAAGGGGGGAAAAAAAAACAGCCCCAAGGAATCTGTAAAACCTAGGGTTACACCTCGTTGCTAAACCTCCCACTATAAGTTTCCAGAGAAAAAAAATATATCACCAAGGACGAACAGGGACTAATTAAAGCAAGACCTCAAACCACACAACCTTCCACTCATATAGACAGTTTCCCTGGAGAAAGTTTGGCGCCACCTGAGTTCTGTACAAGTCTGCTGGGGGAAAAAAAGGGAGAGAATTTGTGTAATTTTGGTTTTAGGGAAAAATGGCAGGAAAGCTGACAGATTTGTAGCGTAAATTTGAGAGGGATGAGTTTACTTGTCCATTCAGTAGGGACTGAAGATATTGAAAATGAGAAAGGAGATGAGCAGGAAAGTAATGAGAAAATTGTAGAGGGCATGGGGAAGAGAGGTCTCAAAGGACTCTGATTTGGCTTTAAGACTATCTGAGTTTGACACTTCCTGATGTATCTTAACTTTGACCTGCAGGCTGTCATAGACATTCAAAGCTTTCTGGTAGGAAAGCTTACAGTGACCAGAGACCATCTAGTCCAATTCCCTCAGGTCAAGAAACTGAGGCCCAAGGATGCCTATCAATTAGGGAATGGCTGAACAAGTTGTGGCATATAAATGAAATGAAATACTATTGTGCTATAAGAAATGATGAACAGGCTGACTTCAGAAAAACCTGGAAAGACTTGTATGGTCTGATGCTGAGTGAAGTGAGCAGAACCAGGAGAATGTTGTACACAATAACAACCATGTTGTGCAATGACTAATATTGATAAACTTAACCCTTCCCAGCAATACAAGGATCTAAGACATCTCTAAAGGCCTTGTGGTGGAAAATGCTATCCACATCCAAAGAAGAAGTTATGGAGTTTGAATGCAGATTGAAGCATACTATTTGCTATTTTTTTTCTTCTGTTGAGTTTTGTTTCCTCTTTCTGGTGGTTCCTCCTATTGGTTCTAATTCTTACTTACAACATCACTAATGTGAAAATATGTTTAATAGGAATGTATATGTATAGCCTATATCAGATTGTGCGCCATCTTGGGGAGGGTGGTGGGGAGGAAGGGAGAGAAAAATTTTAAACTCAAAAGCATATAGAAGTGATTGTTGATAAATCAAAAGAAATTAAAAAAAAAAAAAGAAACTGAGGCCCAGGGAGAAGTGACTTCCCAGGGTAGCAGTGGCCCATACTCTGTATGCCTTCTTTCAAACTAGACTGCAAGAAGACTTCAGTGTACCATGGGGGCAAGGAGACAATAATAGCATTTTTGATGCAGAAATGCCTGATTTAGACTGTTTTGCTGGAATACATAGTCTCAAAAGGAATCCAATTCTTTAGGAAGGAATATATGACTAGGATAGGCAGAGTAGTAAAGTAAATCTGAGAGTACCTTTCTCTTTTCTTTGCAGAGGTGGGGGGCTATGGAGAGGGAACACAACATGTACTGTCTGACTTTACTAATGTTTTGCCTAGCTGCTTTTTTCTTCTTATTCTTGTTATATGGAAGGTTCTCTTGGTAGGAAAAGAGGGCTATGTTGGGAAACTAAGGTAATATAAAAACAAGAGAAGTTTATTTACATCTATCTAATTTTTAGAGTGTTATGGTGGTAAGAACACTCATTTTGGAGTCAGAAGATGTGACTTTGAGTTCCAGTTCTGACATTTACTACACAAGTCACTTAACCTCTTTCAATCATCTCAAGCTGATGACAAAGAGAATAATGATTCTGAAGATAAGACTGGGGAAAAGTCAAATTAAACTACCATTAAATTTCTAGGCTGTTCAACTGACCCTGATATAACCACCAAACACCAATTCAGAGTTGAGACAATGAAGAAGGGGCTAGACTTTTTTTTGTTGTTGTAAGAAAACAAACAGCTTTGATTCATGGATCTCAAAAACATTTTACAAAATGAGATCCAGTATTTCCAAATTGGAGAAATGGTAAAATGAAAGTTTGGCTCCTCAAAATAGAAAATAAATTGACAAGGATTTACTAAATGATGGAGAGAAAACTAATTACTGTTACGGACTTCCATTTCCTTGTCCTTCCCATCCCAGGACTATAAGGATATCGGAGACTGAGAATTAATGCAAAGTTCAATGGATCTGTGATCTCATCAACACAGCTCTTTCTTCTCATCAACTTTTTCATCCTAGATGATTCTCATCCATGACCTCCCATGACCTCCACAGAAAACCTACCCCACATGTTGGAGGCCATCTGTAGGGTTTTTGTTTGCTTACTCTTTCAATGGGTACCAATGCAATCTCACTCCTAATACATGAGCAGATCACCACCTTTTGCAATAATTTACTTCTTAGATGATGTCTTTTACACCACTAGTTGGGCACAAGACATTATGGGCAATATACATAGCCTAGTGATGCCCACACCATGAGGCTCTCCATTGCCAAAAGAGTCCTCACTAAAGAAGTCTATTGAAAAACTATATATTGTATAAAATAGCCACCCTTTAAATTAGTGTCTTTGCATCCTCAACAGCATCAGAAGAATCACCATGTTCCCTTTTGGCAGGATAAAGCAACAAAGCTGATGAATTTGAGAATGGTTAGTTTATTGGTTTTTACTGAATTCTATAATAATTTTATTGACATAACTTTTTCCTGGGATCAAGTATCTGATTATATTTCTTCCATTTTAGATTAAGTAATGCTACTTAATGAACATGATAATTCAGAAATAATCTATTGGTGAACCTATAGCACATTGTCACGGATTCCTTTATTGTAACAGCAGTTCCTAACTTAGTAGCTGGACTCATCCATACATATGAATAGCAGCTGCTGCCCTGTTCCATGTTGTCACAGTCTTCTTAACCCAGTGTTGCCTGTACACTCAGACCCTACCCCCTCAAGTATCAGAAGAGCTCAAGGCAGAGGGGTGTTAAGGCTTCCAAAGGGGTTGGAGCTCAGGATTTCAGCTATACTATGGGTTAAGACAGCTTTTGTGGGCTTGCCTAGGAACCCCATCACCATTTATAAAACTGTCCAGAATGCATTTCTAAGTAGGAGATTATTGTATTCTGAGATAAGAGGCCAATAGGTTTAGAGCCAAAAGGGACCTTTTGAAGGCTATCCATTCCAACTCTCAGTTTATAGAAGAAATTTGCCAGAGTGATCTGTGATTCAGTTATCTTCCTCAGCAGAACATAAGCTCCATGGGGTTAGGGACCATTTCAACTTTGTTCCGTATACCCAGCACCTTGCACACAGAAGGTGCTTAATAAATGTCATTAAATTAAATTAACCAGTGCTACTTTAAACCGTAACTATACTCTTTTTTTTTTCCTGACAGTTCAGTTAATGGGCATTATATTATGAGGTCACTAATGATGGATCCTTACTGTCATATTCAATTCAATTCAACCCAACAAGCATTTAATTTTCTTTGCAAAAGGCACTACTGAAAGAACTGGGATTATATAAGCCTGGAGAAGACTCGGAGGGGGAGGAACAACTGTCTTCAACTATTTGGAGAGCTACCTTTGAAAGTGGGATTAGACTTATTTTATACAGCTCCGGAGGGCAGAAGATCAATGAGTAAGAGTTGCAGAGAAGTAGATTTTGGTTCAATATTCGCAAAAACTTCTTAAGAGCTCTACAATATCTAAGCGAGCTGTCTCAGTACGTAGAGAGTTCCCCATTACTGTGGGTTTCCAAGCAGAAGCTGTATGACTACTTCTCAGGCATGAAACGGAAGACAATTCATACCTTAAGAAGGGGCTGAATCAGATGACCTGAGGTCCCTTCCAACCCTGAGACTTTCTAATTCTTTGTTTAAATCACAGTCTTAAAGAGGCCATCCCCAAAGCTGTGGATATTAGCTACCTAAAACCAAAAGGACTCATCTTCATGCTCCATGTAAAGCCCTTCACAACCTGACCCCTTCCCACCTTTCCAATCTTCTTACAGTTTAATCTCTTCCACCCAAACGGTGATCCAGCTCCATCGGTCTATTTGCTGTCCCTCTCACAGGCCACTGCATTTCTAGACTGTGCCTCTGTACTAGCTGCCCACCCATGCCTGGGACGTTCTGCATCCTTGCTTCTACCCCCTGGCTTCCTTTAAGAGTCAGCTGACATCTCACCTTTGGCAGCAGGCAGTTCCCAGCTCTGGAACTTGGTCCCCCCTGCTTCTGGTCCCCTCCCCCAGTAAGTGCTTATTAAATATTTATTGACTGACTCGTGTTGTTCAGACACCCGTGATACTGTAACAGGCAAGACGAATAAAAATGGCTTATGCTCTCAGAAGTAGGAAGTACAACATATTGCCAATAGGGATGACTCTTTCCCATCTCTTGCCAGTGAGCCATGAATGAGCAGCAGATGTGATCATGTG